CCCTGTGTGTATTAATGAATGAATTAATTAACTGTGAGCTGGGTAGAGCCCGGGGGATCTGGGTGAGCCCAGGCTGGGTTTTACAGGAATGAGCCGGGCTTATCCCGGGCTGTGACACCGCCGTGTCCGGGAGGTGTGACCGCGCTGGCACAGGGAGCGCTCAGCCCTGCCCTGCCCTGCCCGTACCTGCGGCTGTGCTGACGTGACACTGTCCGCTCTCCGGGCCTGAAGGATTCTGAAGGATTCTGAAGGATTCTGAAGGATTCTGAAGGATTCTGGCATTTTCCCCGCAGGGAGCCATGGCAGAGAAGATCCTGGTGACGGGCGGCGCCGGCTACATCGGCAGCCACTGCGTGCTGGAGCTGCTGCAGGCGGGTTTCGTCCCCGTGGTCATCGACAACTTCCACAACGCCATCCGAGGTACGGGGAGCCCCAAACCGGCCCGGGCTGGGCTCGGTTCCTGCGATCCTCACTCCYCTCCGTCCCCCAGGATCTGAGGAGCTCCCCGAGAGCCTGCGGCGKGTGCAGGAGATCGCACAGCAGCCCGTGCTCTTCCAGGAGCTCGACATCACCGACGAGACCGCGCTCCAGGAGCTCTTCAGGAAGGTCAGAGCAGGAACCCTGGGTGGCTYTGGGGTTCCAGGGGTGGGAGCGGGGAGCAAACGCTGTGCCTCACGTTCCTGTGGAGCTCCTGGAGGGGGATTCTGGCCGGTTCCTCCYGTGTCCAAAGCACTGATGTCCACCCCGTTCCCCTGCAGCACCGTTTCTCGGCCGTGATGCATTTTGCAGGGCTCAAAGCCGTGGGGGAGTCTGTGCAGAAACCTCTGGAGTATTACAGAGTGAACCTCACCGGGACCATCCGGCTGCTGGAGGTGAGGGGGCACAGCAGCGATCGTGGCTGTGCCCTGGAGCTGCTGCGTGTGCCCAGGGCTTGTGCCAGGGGGTGACAGGGGCTGTGGAGGCTGTCCCAGGGCTCAGAGCTGGACTGAGAGCAGCACTCAAGAGCTGCACTCAGAGCTCAGAGCTGCACTCGGAGCTGCACTCAGAGCTGCCCCAGGGCTCAGAGCTGCACTCAGAGCCGCACTCAGAGCCACACTCAGAGCTGCACTCAGAGCTCAGAGCTGCACTCAGAGCCACACTCAGAGCTGCACTCTGAGCCACACTCAGAGCTGCACTCGGAACCGCCCTTGGAGCAGCATTCAGCCACACTCAGAGCTGCCCCAGGGCTCAGAGCTGCACTGAGAGCTGCACTTGGAGTTGCCCCAGTGCTCAGAGCCACCCATTGCCCTCCGCAGACCATGAAGGCCCACGGCGTGAGGAACATCGTGTTCAGCAGCTCCGCCACCGTCTACGGCGACCCCAAGTACCTCCCCCTGGACGAGAAGCACCCGGTCGGGGGCTGCACCAACCCCTACGGCAAATCCAAGTTCTTCATCGAGGAGATGATCCGGGATCTCTGCAGAGCCGAGGGGGTGAGGAGCCGCCCCGCGGGGCCGGAGCCCGGGCTGTCCCCACGGGGGTGACAGRGCAGCACCGTCCGTGTGTCCCCAGGACTGGAACGCCGTTCTCCTGCGCTACTTCAACCCCATYGGCGCCCACGAGTCGGGGATGATCGGAGAAGATCCCCAGGGGATCCCCAACAACCTCATGCCCTACGTGGCACAGGTAGAACCCCCCAGAGTCCCCGAGGGGGGCACAGGGAGGGACACAGGGTGACAGCGCTGCCACAGACCTGTCCCTCCGTGCAGGTGGCCGTGGGACGCCGCGAGTTCCTGAGCRTCTTTGGGAACGACTACAAGACGGATGATGGAACAGGTGCGTGATGGGATGGGGGGAATTTGGGATTCCCTGAGGGCTCTGCCCTCATCCTGTGCATCCCCCAGGAGTCAGGGATTACATCCACGTGGTGGATCTGGCCAAGGGCCACATCGCTGCTCTGAAGAAGCTCAAGGAGAACTGTGGCTGCAAGGTACCAGCCTTGGGGTGCTGCCAGCCCTGGGGGCTCCAAAGAGGGGTCTCACCCTTCTCCCCTTGATCCCTGTCCCTTCTCCCCTTGATCCTTGTCCCTTCTCCCCTTGATCCTTGTCCCTTCTCCCCTTGATCCTTGTCCCTTCTCTCCCCCCAGATCTACAACCTGGGCACAGGCACCGGCTACTCCGTGCTGCAGATGGTGCGGGCCATGGAGAAAGCCTCGGGGAGGGAGGTAAGGCTGGATCTGCAGGGCACAGGGACAGCACAGACCCCCAGTGCCCCCCAGCAGCCCTGGCACCGTGCCCTCAGCTCCTGGGGAGCCCCCCCAGCCCACGGTGCCGCTCTCCCTGCAGATCAAATACCGGATCACGGCCCGGCGGGAGGGAGAYGTGGCCTCCTGCTACGCTGACCCCGCGCTGGCCGAGCGGGAGCTGGGCTGGAAAGCTGCATTTGGCCTGGACAAGATGTGTAAGGGATCCCCTCCCTCCCTCCCTGGCACACCGGGCACCGCAGCCCCCTGCCCTCCCTCACCTCCCCCTCCCTGTTCCAGGTGAGGACCTGTGGCGGTGGCAGCTGCAGAACCCCACGGGCTTCAGCAAGAACTGAGCTGGGACCGAGGGCTGGCCTGGCCCAGGAGCTGCTCTGAGCCGGCCCTGCCTCCTTCCCGAGGGCTGTCACTGTCCTGGGACAGCGTGCCAGCTCCTCCTCCTCCTCCTGTCACCATCCCGGGACAGCAGTGCCAGCTCCTCCTCCTCTGTCACTATCCCGGGACAGCAATTCCAGCTCCCCCCCTGCCTCTGGCTCGGGGCAGGAAGGCTGGAGCATCCTCAGCCTCCACACTCCTCATCCTCATCCCCATATCCCCAGGTCTTTGCATTTCCCAGGGCAGATCCACACCGGAGAGCACAGAACAGAGCCAGAGCCTGGCACGCAGGGCACGGAACCCCTCGTGACAATGCCCAGGGGCTGCTGCCAGCACGGGCACATCTGAGTCCTGCTGAGCCCAAAGTGCAGCCAAACCCCGCTCCCTCCTGCCCCACTGCTGGGCTCCGGGGGTGCTCTGGCACCTCTGCCCTGCCCTGGCACACACAGAGCACCGGGACCCTCCCAGTCACGGACCACTCACATTCCAAGGCCACCGTGGCTCATTTCCCCTTTCCCCTGCCCCCCAGCACGGTTTTGGGGACCAAATCTCATCTCCCACATYTCCTGCTGAGCTGGAGAAGGCCCTGCCCGGGGCTGTGCCAGCCTGGCCTGGCTGCCCAGAGCCCCCTCRGTGCCTGGCTCAGCCTCCTGTGGCAGCCACTTGCCCAGCCCCGTTGCCAAAGGCTGCCCAGGAGCTGCTCTGCCCCGGCACACACTGCTCCTGTTTATTCCTGGCAGGGATGACGCAGCCGGCCCCGTGTGCTGTTGGCTGGATGAATAACTTATGCTCCTAAATTATGAATTGAGCTTTTGATTTGTTTTTAAATAAACTTTCCTACTTTCTAAGTGGCAGCTTTGTTCTGCTTCCCCTCAGCCCCAAAAACGGCACCCTGGGGGCTCGTGCCAATCCCACTCACCCCAAATCTCTCGTCCTGCCCGGCCAGGGATGACGCCAGCTCAGCTCCGGGATAGGTTTAGGATTTATTTCACCTTGATTCTCTGTGGAACGCACGCACACACACACAAAAAACCCCAAACATGTACAAGGAAGACAAGAGAGAGAAGAAAAAAAAAAACGAAAAAACAAAAGAAAAAAAAATCCCAAAGCTGTATTGAGGAATGGAGAGAAGCCGTTCTCCCTCCCGCGTTCCCGGCACTGCTCGGGCAGGGAGTGAGCAGGAATGCTCTGCAGAGGGGATGGTCCCGGGCCCCCCATCACACATGGTTCCAGTTCACAGTCAAACGGGTCAGTCTGGCCAGCACCAGCCCCTGGTGACCCCAGGGTGCTGCACTCCCACCCCAGCCAGCCCCTGGTGACCCCGAGCGTGGGGGACAGGGGCACAGCAGCATTAAAACACAGCATAGAAGAGCCAGCAGGGCAGAGCAGAGCCCCGGGCAGGGCAGAGCCCCGGGCAGGGCAGAGCCCAGCTCCCCTCGGTGCCAGCAGCAGCTCTGCTGCTTTCAGACTTCCTAAAAGGGGCCAAAAACAAAGCCCCAGCAAAGCCCCACGAGCCGACTCTGCGCAGGGCCGTTATTGCTTTGCGCACCCCGGGCGGGGAGGGCAGGGCTGGAGCAGAACCGGGGGGGCTGAGCAGCCCCAGAGCCCCCTCGGAGCCCCCCGGGGCAGCCCCCGGGCAGCTCCGGCCTCGCTGGCCCCGGGGCACCGGGCAGAGGCTCCCTGGGGCCGGGGAGGGGCAGCGGGGCCAGCCCTGGGGCCAGGGGAATGTGGGGTGTTCTAAAAGCCATGATCAGTCCCGGGAGGGGGCTCAGCCCGGGGGAAGAGGGGGGTGAGGGCAGAGCTGCTCCACAGCCGCTGCCCAGGCCCTGTGGGAGGGGAGGGGCAGCCAGGAGCCCACCCAGAGGGGACATTCGGGGCCCTGGCCCTGCACCCCAGCACGATGGCAGCACTCGGGAGGGGACAAACCACAGCTCAGGGACCCTGGTGATTGTACAGGAGGAGGGGAGAGTCCCCAGTCCCGGGGAGCAGAGAGACCCCCGGGAGCACGGAGGGTGGGGCACAGCAGCACCCAGGGCTCAGATGCTGGTGAGATGATGGTTGGGAGCAAAGCTGCTCCTTCCAGCCACACCAGGAGCYAAACCCGGGGTCCAGGGACCCCCCCTCACCTGTCCCTCTCCAAGTCCCGAGGGAAGGACGAGTAGCAGCAAGAGAGACATTAAAGACGGGGCTGTGGCTCCGTGAGTGTAAACGAAGCTTGGGGGCTCCGAGCGTGCAGAGCTGGGCTGGGGGGTGAGATCCTGGGACCCCCGCGGGCCGAGCAGGAGATGGAGATTGTAAAAGCGACAAGAGGAGGAGGAGGAGGAGGAAGGAGGTGATTATCTCAGAGGGCAGAGCTGCCCCACGGCTGAGGGAGTGTGCGTGTGTGACAGGCGGGGCCGTGCGGGAGGTGCGGGAGCGGCGCTGACCCTCCCCGCCGGCCCCGGGCAGCCTTTGGCGGTGCCAGCCCGGGGCAGAGCCTGCCCGGGACCTGGAGGCGTCCGCAGGGGAGTCCCGGGTTCCTGAGCTCCGATTGAAAACCCGCGAGTCGCCTGAGCGGAGCGGCCACCGAGGGCAGAGCTCCGAGCCCCGCAGGTGCCCCGGCCCCRCCCCGCTCCTCCCGCCGCACCCGAGCACGTCCCGCCCCTAATACTGGTACAAAAACCCCAAACCCGACAGCAAAACCTCACCCGCGCCGTGCCAGCCCCGCGGGGCGCCGAGGGGACCGTGACCCCCCGGGAAGTGCTCGGAGCCGGAGCAGGAGAGAAAAGGCCACAGCCAGACTGGCCTCAGCTCCGGAGTGGGAGCTGCGGGAGAGCCGGGCGGGGCGAGGGCGCGGGCGGGTGTGGCGAGGGGGCGGTGGGGGCCATGGCTTCCGATTGCAGCGGGCGGGGCACGGGGGACAGCTGTGAGTGACCTCGGCACCCTCCCCTGCGACAGTCCCGAGGGGCTCCGCTCAGATCCGGGGCAGCAGCTTCTCGATGAACTCCTTCACCGCCATCATCTCCTGCGGGGAGCGCAGAGCCCGTCGTTCCTGGGCTCCCCAAAGGCTGGGGTGTGCCCTGGGAACGGGGCACGGGGCTCTGCAGCCCCCCAAAGGCTGGGAATGGGGCACAGGGCTCTGTAGCCCCCCAAAGGCTGGGAATGGGGCACAGGGCTCTGTAGCCCCCCAAAGGCTGGGAATGGGGCACAGGGCTCTGTAGCCCCCCAAAGGCTGGGAATGGGGCACAGGGCTCTGTAGCCCCCCAAAGGCTGGGAATGGGGCACAGGGCTCTGCAGCCTCCCCAAAGCCTGGGAACGGGGCACGGGGCTCTGCAGCCCCCCCAAAAACTGGGAACGGGGCACGGGGCTCTGCAGCCTCCCCAAAGACTGGGGTGTGCCCTGGGAATGGGGCACGGGGCTCTGCAGCCTCCCCAAAGGCCGGGGTGTGCCCTGGGAACGGGGTTCTGCAGCCCCCCCGGAGCAAGGCAGGAACAAACACCTCCCATGTGCTCCCTGCCCTGCAGGACCCACAGGCCTGGGGCTGATCCCAAAGGTGATCCCACCCCTGGGGGTCACAGAATCGCAGAATATCCTGAGCTGGAAGGGATTCCAAGCTCCTGGCCCCACAACAATCCCACCCTGTGCATCCCTGGCAGTGCTGTCCCAACACTCCTGGAGCTCTGGCAGCCTCGGGACTGTGCCCAGCACCCTCTGGGGACAGAAGAACCTTTCCCTGATCCCCAACCCTCCCTGGCCCAGCTCCAGGCCGTTCCCATGGCTCCCGTCCCTGGTCACCACCCTGGGGTGTCCCACCCGTCCCTCTGTCCCCACACTGACCTGAGGACAGGAACTGTGCATCACGCCGGGGTAGGTTTTGAACTGCACCTTGGTGGGGGTGACGACAGATTTGAGCTTCTCGGCGGTGAGGGCCCCGAAGCGCACGGGGATCATGGGGTCCAGCTCGCCGTGGCACTGCAGGATGGCGATGTCCTTGTTGACACCGTTGTTCGCTGCCTGCCATGGGGAGGGGACACAGGGTGAGGGGACAGCAGGGTAAGGGGACAACAGGGTGAGGGGACAACAGGGTGAGGGGACAACACGCGTGTTTATCTGCATCCCAACACATCCCGTGTGAGGTGACAACACGTGTGTTTATCTGCATCCCAACACATCCCGAGTGAGGGGACAGCATGCCTGTTTTTCTGCATCCCAAGATGTCCCCCCTCAGCTCCCCTCCTCCGGGGGTTGTGGGCGATGGGAGAAGCCCCCCTGCCCCCTGTGAGGGTCCCTGGGGTGGGGGTACCTGGGGGAAGGCTTTGTGCAGCGGGAGCCAGCAGCTGAGCGCCACGATCCCGGCCAGCTGGTGCTGGCAGGTGAGAGCCGTGTACAGCGACAAGGCACCGCCCTGCGGGAGGGAGGGGAGGGTGGCATCAGTRCCAGGGGKGTTYTGGGGGGTCCAGGAYACCCYCAGASCCACYTCACACACCCACAGCTCCMTGGGAGGGGTGTCCTGGTAGCAGGAATTGGGGTCCCGACCCTCACCTGGGAGAAGCCCCCCAGGATGATGCGGTTGGGGGGGATCCCGTTCTTCATCTCGTGCTCGATGATTGCTTTAACTGGGAGGAGAGGGGAGAAATGGGTCAGTGGGAGGGGAGGGGGGGCTGGAAAGCACCACCCCACACCTCGGGGTGCGCATCAGGGACTGGCAGGTGCCCACGGAGAATGTTTGCTGGGGAGCAGAAAGGAAGGAGAGGTTCCTTCTCAGTCTCAGAGAGGGGGTTTCTTACTGCTTTCTGCAGCTTTCTTGATCCCAGCTTCATCCTCAGGTGCATCTGGAGTCAATCCCATCAGGTCAAACCTGGGAGAAGCAGCAGGGTCAGCCCAAACCTCTCCCAGCACACAGGGTGAGGTGTGAGGAGGCAGGAGCTGGGTGTGCTCAGGATTTGGGGTCCTCCATCCCTCTCACTCCCCAAAAGCTCCCACCCAGCCCTGCACCCCAAATCACTAACCATGAGGGCATGACCATCTTCATGTTGAGGGTCACCGGGATCCGGGGCCTGCGGAGGAGGAACATTTTGGGTGTTTTAGCTCAGGTCTGAGGGGAGCAGGAGGAAYAACACCTCCCCTCTTCCTGCTGAGCCTCCCCTGCTGACCAGGCCATGCTGAGGGAGCTTCACCACCTTTCCCTCTCCCTGCAGCCACCAGGGACCAGCAGAGGACAGGAGGGGGATGAACAGAGCTCGGAGCAGCAGCTCTGACTGTCCAGCTCTGTGGGAAAAGCCACAGCAAAAGAGCTGGCCTGGCTGGACAGCCTTGCTGGGCTCAGACCACCACCTGCTTCCCCCAGGAGCCTCAGAACCCCCAAAAAAGCACCCCCAGGGCAGCACTTACGCGTGAGGGCAGATGTATTTCACGTAGGGGAGGCGGATGGAGGAGAGAGCATCGGCCCAGCTGTGCCTGGGGAGGGAGGAGAGATGATCCCAAGGCTTGCCTGAGCCATTTTCCCCAAGGATGCTGCCCCCCATCCATCCCCTGCGATTATTTTACCCACCCCATCAGCCTGAGACCCCCATGCAGCTCCCCCAGCATTGATCCCCTCTGAGGGCAGCACACAAAGCCCCAGGCAGGGAGGAAAGGGAGGTGGGAATCTCCTGGACAGGGAGGTGGGAATCTCCTGGTCACAGAGGGGAGGATCTCCTGCCCAGGGAGAAGCCCTTTGTCACCACGGTGGGACATCCCTCCGAGGTGGGCTGGCACAATAAAGATGCTCTCAGCCAGGCCCAGCCCTGCCAAAGACTGGAAAAGCCGCAGTGCTTATCAGCAATCCCTGAAGGCAGCACAAAATCCACCCGCGGGGGGTGGGGGGCTGCCAGGCTGCCGGCATCATAAATATTCAAGTGCTGACAGCTGCCGGCAGCAATTCCCTGCCATTCYCTGCTATTCCCTGCAGGGCTGGTGCAGGAACGGCGGCCAACCCCGGCCCAAAGCCCACAGAAATCCTGGAGATGCCTCTGGGGAAAGCAGCAGCAAAGGGCATTTGGGATTTGGCAAACCACACATGCCAGYGGGAGCCAGCTCCAGGGGCACTCACCCCGTGTCTCCAAGGCCATGTAGGAAAATAACCTGTTAAAGAGAAGGAAGGGAAGGAGTTGGKGTGAGAGTGGTGCCCTGGGAGGGGGCAGGGCTGGGCTGGGCTGGGCTGGCAGGGAGGTGGCAAATGGACACTTAGTCACCAACTCCAAGCGGCCCAAATTAGCTCAGGACATGGATGGGTGGGTCAGGGATGAGGTGTCATCCTGCCACAGAGCTGCCACAGGCAGGTCCCAACTCCTCAGCACAGCAGGGGGACAAGGGGTGACAGATCATCCCACCAGGAACGGCACCACAGCACAGGCCCAGCCCGAACCCAGAATGGGCTGAAAGGGATCTTAGAGCTCATCCAGTGCCACTCCTGCATGGCAGGGACACCTCCCACTGTCCCAGGGTGCTCCCAGCCCTGTCCAGCCTGRCCTTGGGCACTGCCAGGGATGGGACAGCCACAGCTTCTCTGGGCACCCTGTGCCAGGGCCTCCCCACCCTCACAGGGAACAATTTCTTCCCTGAATCAACAAGAATTCACAAATCCACCTCCACAGCCTTTTCATCTCCAGCTGCAGCAGCCCCTAAGCCTCGGGGAGCAGAGGGAAGGCAGCCTGGAGACCCCAGGGAAGGACTGGGGCGGTTCCTTTGGGACATTTGCTTTTAAAAGCTTAAACAGCCCAATCAGCCCCAACTCCCACTGCCCTCCCAGAGGGGCAAAGTTGTGCCAGTGCACCCGAGGGTGGCCACAGAGCCCTCCCTCTCCATCCTGGGCTCCTGTGAAGCTGATGGAAGCTTTCCCTGTTTTCAGCAGCAGGGAGGGGACAGCCCTTACCGCAGCAGTCTCGCGCTCTGCCCCTGACACGGTGACAGCGTCGGCGAGGAGGGGGACAGACATGTTGTTACCACACATACACCGAGAGGGACTCGACACTGGCACCTGCGGGACACAGAGGTGAGGCAGGAAAAACAAACCTCCCGCCCCCAGCTCAGCAACAGCTCACAGGAGAAGCTGTTCAGGAGGGGAAATTAAAGAGCAGGTGAAGGCTTTGATGTTGAAGCCCTCGGGACAGCCCCGCTGGTGAGTCCAGAAGCAGCGAACGCTCCCCGTGTGGCAGCGCCGGGACGCGCGCATGGGGTGCTGGAAGTGTTAAAATTAGCTCGGAAATGACACCTCAGAGCCAGAGTTATTCCTGYGGCTGCAGCGGCGTGGGCAGAGGGCGGCCGGGCACAGCAGCCTCGGCACCCCTTCGTTCCTGCAGCCCTCGGTGCCTTCCCGGAGCCTGACCCACATCTGCTCCGTGAGGGAAGCAGGAAATGCTCGGCACGCAGCAGCACGGGYTCTGCCGCACCAATAAAGGTCCAGCCCTGTTTTATGGAGGTGTTTAGGATGAACCAGAGCACTGGGAGATGGTCTGAGCCCCCCCAGTGATGGTGACACCCCTGTGTCTGCCCAGGACAGCAAGCAGGGTCACCAGCAGTGTCCTGTCACCTCCTGGATCCCGCAGAGCTGACAGACCCCACGACACCTTCAGCCACAATAGTCCCTGGTGTTTGTTCCCACTCCAGCAAAATCCACAACTCCAGCTCCCCACGAGGCCACCCTGATCCCACTGACCCACCAGGACTAATTAGATCAGAGCTCGTTTAGGGGGCTGCCACCATCCCCCAGGTGTGGGATCAGCCTCTGGAACACCATCACAGAATATCCTGAGTTGGAGGGGATAAAGGATCATCAGGTCCAACTCCTGCCCTGCACAGACCCCTCAACAATCCCACCCTGCACATCCTTGGCAGCGCTGTCCAAATGCTCCTGGAGCTCTGGCAGTCTCGGGGCCGTGCCCATTCCCTGGGGAGCCTGGTCAGGACCTTCTGGGGGAATAACTTTTTCCTAAAATCCAACCTAAACCCCTCCTGACACAGCTCCAGCCATTCCCAGGTCCTGTCCCTGTCACAGAGATCGCAKCCACCCCTCAGAAATYCTTTCCTCAGCCACCACACTCTTCMCCTCCCACAGCAGCACCATCCCCAGCAGSTCAAGGCRACMCAGGATCACCCCAAAYCCCCCCAAAAYSCCACAAATCYCAGCCTTACCCACGAGAAACAGCCCGGTCTCTATCCCAGCCCGGCCAAGACCTGCCCGACTCGTTCCACCGACTGCTCGTCAGCGGCTTCCCGACTCAAATAAAAACACCGGCAAAGGAGCAGCTGCCCGGATCTGACACAGCCACACGGCCCACGTGTGCGCTCCAGGGGCAAAACAAGCRGCCGGGACTGACCGCACCTCCCAAAAAAACCTGACAGGTTTGGAAATGAAAGCATCTTCCCCTGGTGGGTGATGGGATGTGCTCCCTTTTTTTAGGGATTCCAGGGAAAGCAGCTCGGGAGGGTCAGAAATGCCTCAAACACSCCATGGGAATGGTCTGGGATGTTCCTGCCCCGCTCCTGGAGGGAGCACAAAGGAATCAGGATCAAAGCGCTCAGATGCGCCTGTGCCGGTGCGAAAACAAAAACACAGAACCGCGAGGTGGATTTGGGTCCGATTTGGAGCTGTCGGGCCCCAAATCAGCGATTCTGGGGGGGGGTGGAACACGTTTATCAGCGGTTAATTAGCGTTAATTGCTGAGCTTCAGCAGGGAGCAGGATCCACCGGGGGCCTGGTAAATCCCGCCTGGAAGCGGGCGGATGGAGGTGGGACCCCCGCGGCCGGGAGCACCGCTTTTCCGCCAAAAACGGGGATTGAGGGGGGTTCCCTGCAGGCTGCGGGTGCTGAGGGCTCGGAGGGACCCCGGGAGCGGGTTTGGGGTGGGAAGGGACGGCCCCGTTACCGCAGCGGGACYGCCGAGCCACAACCGCGGGCCCCCGGTGCTTCCAGCGGCTGCACCGCCCCGCTCCCCGTTAAACCTCGTTAAAAACCGGCAGGGCCCCGCCGCTCCCCAAATCCCTCACGGAACTCCATTTTCCCTGTTAAACCCCGGTATGGCCCCGCTCCCCCCGCTCCATCCCTCACGGAACTCCCATTTTCCCCGTTAAACCCCCGTTAAAACCCAGTAGGGCCCCGCTCCATCCCTCACGGAACTCCCCTTTTCACCACTAAATCCCCGCCGCTCCCCCCATCCCTCACGGAACTCCCCCTCCTCCGTTAAACCACGTTAGACCCCGTTAAAACCCCGCCACTCCCCTCATCCCTCACGGAACTCCCCTTTTCGCCGTTAAACCCCGGTAGGGACCCCATCATCCCTCACGGAACTCCCCCTTCTCCGTTAAACCCCGTTAAAATCCCGCCGCTCCCTCCATCCCTCACGGAACTCTCCATTTTCCCCGTTAAACCCCCGTCACTCCCTCATCCCTCACGGAACTCCCCTTTTCTCCGTTAAACCCCCGCTGCCCCCCCCCATCCCTCACGGAACTCCATTTCCCCCGTTAAA